GATCAAAGAAAGTCTGAAAACTTACCACCTTATAGTGAGTAGCCGCTCGGGCTCCGAGCTGAGCAACCAGTAGTTCGGCCCAGCTAGCAACCTCCTCAGAAAACACGGCAAACAGAGGAGACCCATCCAATCTCAAGAAACCCATTCATCCAATCTCTAGCCATCGTATTCCTCATTCACAGGTTCTGAACTTTTACTATGGGCGTTGCCTTTTACGGTGTAAAGTGGGCTTTGTCGTGCTGGCCCGCGGGCCATTACAGCCTGGGCTGGCTTGTGGGTCGGGCCGTGCATCGGGCCAAAGCTATTTATTTAAAAAATTGACAAAAAACTTAAAATTTTAATTTTAGTGGCGATTGTGGGGAGGAAAGAACAAACCAGGGGATAGGGAAAGTGTTCAGGCCATTACAGCCTGAACTTTTGTTGCCACTGTCAATGAATTTTGGGGAACTCTTACTAGATGCAGCTTTCTCGACCAGGTTTCCATATCGGATCTAGTGTCTCTAGAGTTCTCAGGTCCACTCCCTTCCCTTGAGGCTCTATGGCTATCTAAATTCATATCCCTCAAGAGCATTACAAGTAAATTGAGGAAAGGAGATGGATTCTTCCCATCCTTAAAGCATCTCTACCTCTGGAAATTGCTTAAATTGGAGAATTGGTCAGTAGTAATGGAAATATTAGACGGTGATCAGGAAGTAGTGGTAGTAAAAGAAGAAGAAGAGGAAGAGCCACATAACTCATTATCACTGTTCCCTCACCTTCCCAATGAATGTGAGATTATTAATTGTCCTAAATTGGAAAGTATTTCTTGGGGTTGGCCGGCACGTGAAAGAGTGGAATTATCTTTGATTGATGCCAAGCCATTGGAGTTAATTCTGAAGAAGAAGACGAAGAAGGATAAAACCCCCATCCCCATCCCCATCCCCATCCCATTAATGTTGACATCATCATCATCATCAAGTACAAACTCATCATCCTCTTCTTCTTCTTTTCAACACTTCCTTCCCACTACTCATGTAACCACCACATCATTGACAATTGCATCCTGCAAAGACATAGAGTCTTTTCCTTCGGAGGCGATGGAAGGCTTGACTTCTATCCGAATTTTACAAATTTCAGATTGTTGGGATTTGAAATCATTGCATCCTCAAGCAGTGAAGCAATACCTCGCCGATCTTGAAGAGCTTCAAATTGAGTCTTGTCAAATCTTTCATTCGTTGGAGGGCATCGGAGGTCTTTCTGCCCTAAAAGCTTTGAGGATTAGGGATCTGCCCAAATTGGTTGCATTTCCAGAGGAGCTTGGAGACCTCAAATCCCTTCGGAAACTTCACATTGAAAATTGTCGTAATCTATCATCACTACCTCAAGGTATGCGTCGTCTGTCAGACCTCAAATCCACAACATCAGACTTCCTCTTCTACCTCTGGTACGTACGTAGTCACTTTATTTTATCTTCACGACCAAACTATTTCATTGTGCTTCTTTTAATGTTCATCTACAACAGGGGAGGCCAATTAAGTTTGGTCTATTTCTATATTCTTTCTTATCTTTTATGGGAAAATTGACAATTTCTTTTAGACCTTACAGTCATTTCCAAGGAACAAGAAACAGAGGAGGCCAATAGAAAATGGTCTCGCATTTTAATTAGTTTTAAATTTAATTTACATCAACATTAAACCATTGTTGTTGGGTAAC